TAGGTGTATTGTGTCACAGGGAGAAATTGCCGAGTGGCACGCTGAAAGTACTCGGATCGTTTATGAGGCAGAAGGCAGCTCAGGATAGTTGGTGAAGCATCCAGACTCGTAGATCCTAGTATGAAATTCACTTGGAGCGTGGACTTTGCTAATTAGTACCAGCGTCGTTTTTGCAAGCCCGGAAGAACGGAGAAACTCGTTTAATTGGTGCCATTTCATTCCGAAGATAATTGTTCAGATGAATTTCTGTCGAACCGGGAGTTTACTCCAGTTGTAGTTTTGAATTCAAGTTTCCTGTCAGTCAAGATTTCATCGCGCCACAGCTTCCACGATTATTCCGCAAATATACCTCGCATTGTTGTCTATACCGGTGACAAAAATGGGGAGAAAATGAGAGAATTGTTGCGGTGCATGGTTTGCAATTTGATGGAGTATAAGTATTGTTATTGCGTCCTTTTGTCGAGGTTCGTTTTGCCATTGAGGCAGCATAAACAAATGTGGAGGAATTAATTGGACAATAGTTCCACGCGATTGTATAGTTTTAATCGGTGTGGCAAATTGGCTAAAAATAATACAATTACAGTGTGTACATTTGTTGGTATTACTGAAGTATGAACAATTTATTATTTACGAACGGTGTTATTAAAATTGTAAATAAATATTATTCGGTGTTTCTATTATTTAAGTTTAGTTCAGTCACAAGCTAAATGTAAAATTCAAGTCTCTGACTGCATAAACTTTTATTAGTAGATATTATTGAAGTGTGAATAATTATTATTTGCAAAAGTAATTATTAAAATGTAAATAAATATTATTGCATTATTATTGAGAAGTGGATAGCTCATTAGAATTTTCTAAATTACAAGCTAAATGTAAGATTGAAGTCTCTGACTGTATAAACTTTTATTAGTAGATATTATTGAAGTGTGAATAATTATTATTTATGAATGTAATTATTAAAATGTAAATAAATATTATTATATTATTATTGAGAAGTGGATAACTCATTAGAATTTTCTAAATTACAAGCTAAATATAAAATTAAAGTCTCTGACTTCATAAACTTTTATTAGTAGATATTATTGAAGTATGAATAATTGTTATTTGCAAAAGTAATTATCAAAATGTAAATAAATATTATTATATTATTATTGAGAAGTGGATAACTCATTAGAATTTTCTAAATTACAAGCTAAATATAAAATTAAAGTCTCTGACTTCATAAACTTTTATTAGTAGATATTATTGAAGTATGAATAATTGTTATTTGCAAAAGTAATTATCAAAATGTAAATAAATATTATTATATTATTATTGAGAAGTGGATAGCTCATTAGAATTTTCTAAATTACAAGCTAAATATAAAATTGAAGTCTCTGACTGCATAAACTTTTATTAGTAGATATTATTGAAGTGTGAATAATTGTTATTTGCAAAAGTAATTATCAAAATGTAAATAAATATTATTGCATTATTATTGAGAATCCCATTGGCTCATTAGAATTTTCTAAATTACAAGCTAAATGTAAAATTGAAGTCTCTGACTGCATAAACTTTTATTAGTAGATATTATTGAAGTGTGAATAATTATTATTTATGAATGTAATTATCAAAATGTAAATAAATATTATTGCATTATTATTGAGAATCCCATTGGCTCATTAGAATTTTCTAAATTACAAGCTAAATATTAAATTGAATTCTCTGATTGAATAATTTTCATTAATAACTTTCAAACTTAATAGCAACGTGACGAATTGAAATGGTACTGCGTTAAATCAACATACGTATTATGCATTCACTTTCATTTCAAAAATTGCAGATCAATGTCAGATTAAATTTTGTAAAATGAAAGAGAGAAGCTACAGCTGAGAAACTGTTTAAAAAAAGAAGTTGAGTCATTTCGATGTTATCCCGTCGTTCGAGCGGATTGAACGTGGTTTTTATAAAGAGCAGTTTGTACAGTTATACAGACTAAAAATTCGGGCAAGTGTTGAATCACACATTCACCGCAGGTAACAAGTATTCAGAATAATTTATGGACCGTGTCGTATTGTACTTTACTGGAACTTTCTGTGTATGCAAGTGTATTATTCTCCATTGTTAGCATATTTATTGTATGATTTTTCGATGATTCACCCGATACGCGACTCCCGAGAACTCTCGATGCCTATACATTATTGAAGCTTGTCTCGCATTTCAGCTGATTACAGCATTCCTGTTAATAACATCGTATATTTCGAAAGCTATTTAATTTCGTATTTATAGCATCGTCGCGTATAATTTATATCGTGTTCATACTCGCGAAAAGATATTATAATATTTGTCATACTTTGTTGATTAATCTTCACGTTTAGTATTGTATGAATATTCGATCACATTCATGATAAATTACTCTTGTGATTCGTTCAATTATCA